CCCCCCCCCCCCCCCTTCCTCTTGTCTTCGTGCATCATCACAAAGAGTGAACAGAACACACTTCACTACCTACAACACCAGACAAGTCTTCCGCACTCACCACTTACACAATGCCTCTTAATCTTGAAGACATTCGTTCGGGAGACATCCGCTCCGTTCGAGTGCAACCTGGCATAAACTCCTTTACAGAAAAGGAGCACGGTTACCTGGACGGCGGCATACTGGGTAAGACATCTCCCCTTCGCGTTATCCTCGATACTAACCGTCTTAACCTAGATCTGCGCAAGGCCAAGGCCTATAACGGCGGACTTCAAGTCACTGAAAGACGCAGCTACAGTGGAGTCAAGGCCGCGATCCCTTCACAGCTGGCTTGGCTTTTGAACAATCGCATTCTCCAGCATCAGCAAAACTTTCCGAAGCAGTCTTTAAGCGCACAGATACGCGACGCGATGAGGGAAGTCCTGGCCATATACTGTGGCGATGGCGTCTTGTTTGACTTTACGACCGACGATGAAGAGTATCTTCGCCGAGTCCTAGCAACAAACGCGAGCGATACAAGCCTGATCTTTCGCAAGAATCCTCGAGCTTTCCCCAAGGTGTTCAAGAACTGGGAACCAAAGGACACAGAGTTCACAAACTCCCTCAACGGATTCAAGATCGTCTTGGTGGATACCCAGAAGCGACCGCTGATTCAAGTCGTCGTGGGTGATTACGAGGAACACCAAGGACCAAACAACAAAGTCAAGAAGATCACCTGGTACAAACCGTCAGCTAGCAATTTGCCTCCAGCAAGCCCTCTCAAGCGCAAGACTGGCGATGTTCAGCAAAAGGATTGCACCAACGACGCGACGACCTCTCAGGATCCCTTCAAGAAGCCAAAGGTTGTTGATAGACTGTCAGTCGAAGTCAAGCGCAGTCCTGCGATTGAGTCTGCCAGAATTGAGACCTTGGATACCAAGGTTTATGGTACGAGCATTCCCTTCCCACGTGATACTGATACTGTCCTCATACTTCTTTGTGCTAACGTGGAGGAAATAGACGCTCGCAAGATCCGAGGCATGCCAGGAGGATTCGAGATTGGACCCAACCAGAGCGGCTTCGCCAGCTATTTCACTGGATTATCCGGAATAAGGGTCGCAGTGCCTTCGGAGCTCGCCAAGTTCCTGAGAAACAAGGCCATTGATGCGGCAAACAACGCTCAACGTGGCGGGTCACCGCGTGAGCGTGTCACCGCTGCTGTTCAAGAATTCATGTCAGAGGAGTTTTCTGGACAATGCGTCCTCATGAATCTGACAACTGAAGAGGAAGCCAAGTTTCTCCGCGCCTATGACGGAGACGACTACAGATCAGTCGCTTTCGCGGTTCGTGCGCGCCCTGCTTCCGTGGATTCAATGTCCGTCTTCCAAATTTGGGATCCCACGGCCACCACGGTGGAGCGTGCAATGAATGGCCAGGTTACGGTCATATTCAAGGACTACTACGGAGAAACCTTGATGGGTGCTTGGGTTGATGAGTGAGGTTTACAAGCGAGGTTGTGGACGAGTGATGCATTTGTATCATCTTCATTTGGATCCGCATTTGAGTAGCAACTCAATTGTTTGGTTTGCATCAAGAAGCATAGATTGACCTTGGATATATGATATCTCTGACGGCTCCAGGACCTCGTGTCTCATCCCAGGCTATAACACGTGATCTCTCATCCATCCTGGCGACGAGGATATTTTCATCATCACTTTCTTGAACTACCTGCAAGATCTCGGAGTCGGTTGCTGACAAGAACTGGGCATGGATGGTGCGGGGCGGGGATTCCACCGATAACGAGCTGCACCGCCAATCTTTCAAACCATCACGCTGCCTACTCCAACGAGAGGCTTCACGTTGCGGGGTCAAGGTGCCCAAAGTGTGCTCGAACAAACGGCACTTTTTCGTGCCCATGTCTGACCACTACAAGAATAGTGTGAGCCAACATGAGGCTCAGATTACTCATTAAGCCTTATACAACTTAATCAAATATACGCTAGACGACGCAGTAGACAGATTCTGTTTACCCGTGCCAGGGACTTGCATACATCTGCCGCCAGAACAAAGTGGGACAAGATGGGTGGCAAGATGCATGTCAGATGCAGCCCCCAGCGCAGGTCCCGACAGTGTATGGAGAGATCTGGGGGTTCAATAGTAGTGGATGTCAAATTGAAAAACTTGTGTCCTACTTTCTGGGCACTCCAATAACTGGATGTCGACTCCCCGCTCCATTCACTTGACAAGTCAAACGGACTATACTCATGCTAAGTTGTGCCTCCTGAAGAAACAACATATTCATAATGTCGACCGAGAGTCAGAATACCGAAGCTCGTGAGCATTTCAAGAAGCATGGCTGGGTCCGCATCCCCTCTCTCCTTTCCAAGGGACGGGCCGACGAGATACTCCAAAAGCTTTGGATGGTCAAGGAGAAAGCCGAGGCAAGGGGTGAAGAATCCCATCTCCCTTTTCTCGATCCGAACCCCAGCAATGTTCGTATCTTTTATCTGATGGAGCTTGACAAGGTTTTTCGAGACCTCATTTTCCACCCGACGGCGCTGGACATGGCAGCGACCGTGCTAGGGGACGGGTTCATCATCTCCAACTTTACAGCAAACATAGCGAGACCTGGGTCTCAGTCCATGGCACTGCACTCGGACCAGAGCTTGGTGTTTGAGGAGCCTTGGAAAAAGGTGCAGGCAATGAATGTCATCTGGTGAGACCACGCTGGTTCTGAACTGGGTACTTTTTCTTCACATTCGCGCAACTAAGCAATAAAAATAGGTGCCTCACCGACGTGACCAAGGAGAACGGCGCGACCTTGTATATACCGGGATCTAACAAGATTGTAACCCGTGATGAGCTACCAGAGAATGCGCCCGAGCTACTGGTCCCATTCGAGGCCAAGGCGGGCGACATTATTGCCATGGACGGCCGCGTCTGGCACACGAGTGGCGCAAACGTGACCAAGGACGAGGACCGCGCGCTGCTCTTTGGCTACTACACCTCTGCACACATTCGACAACAGGTCAACTGGACCGCGAAGCTGCCCAAGGACATTCAGGACACCTTGAGCCCAAAGGAGAAGACGCTACTTGGATTGGATCCTGTAGCCAATCTCGGACTGGCTGGTGATCTCAAATACCTGTCGCAGCAGTATCCCAACCATAAAGTCAAGTCATCTGCATGAGGTCATTTTCCGGCTTCTGGGAGATTGATTCATCCTGTCTAGAGCATAGACATACGTTGCTCTCGGGAAAATGTTAATGAACTCTCCTATTGTCGCACGAGCGAATGGGAGATACCGCAGGGGGAACTTGGCACGAGGGTTCCCCCGTTGATGGGTCAATTTTCCATCCCATTCTAATTTATATCGAATTCAATTAAACACTTTGTCAGCAATACCTTGAGAAAATTGCCTATGTCTTCCATTAAGCTTTCTGGTCGCCAGTCATGAATACAACGCTATTTCAAGAATTTGAGGAGATACAGCGCTGCGTCACAACAAAAATTGAGAGACTACAGTAAACTGACTACACTCTTTCCGATCGCAAGGTCAATATAATGGTGGGTTAAGTACACTCGCAGACGCAGAGTTCAAACAGCCTGTGTTCCATCAACCAATTTCATGCTTACATTTGCCCCATCCCATCTCATCGCATGGATTTAGCTTGTCGGGATGCTAATGTCCACGACCTAGGACTCAGCAGAGTGGAATCGTGCGAGGTAGAATTGAGATCCCCCGGGGAATGGGACAGAGAGGAGTCATGGCAGCCATCCCCTCCCAATTCGAAGAGTACCTCAACAAGCTCATGCGGCATCGGAGACATCAGGCGTTCAGGCACGAACAGACAAAAGATCGGGCCCGCTGGGCTTTGGAACAACTCGTGGAGGACAACTAGGCGTCGAATTCCCTTGTTGGAGTTCAATGGTCGGAGTGAAAGCTGCCATCCCTTCACAGTTTGTGTCGCGCATGGAGGATCTCATGTACGATTTCAAGTGGGGCTCCGAAAGACCCAAGGAATACAAGCAGCAAGTCCATTGGGCATTGAACCATCCCCTGAACCATGACCATGGTCGTCAGGAGTGTGTCCTTCTGGACGTCACGAATGACGAGGAGGAGACCCTTCGCAGCATCACCGGATCCTACCAGTAAAACACTGGAGGTATATTTCGGGACAACTTCCGCATCTTGCCCAGAGAATTCCAATGCTGGTCTCCGTGGATGACCGAGGTTGACGTCGGGGCAGATGGATCCAAGTCATTTTCAGAGACACCAAGAAGCAGTACCTCATCAGATTCATCGTCGGAAACTTCCAAGTGAACAAGCCCTAGATCGTCGATCAATATAAGCTCCAGATCGAGACCCGGACCAGTCAGACGAAGGAAGCCATGGGCAAGACAAATTCAGCTGCGAGCCCGATGAAGAGAAAGACCTCAGATGTACACCACAACAGCCGTGTAGGCGAAAAACCCAGCCAGGGTTCTGGATCGAGACCATTCAAGCACCAGAAGACAGAACCCAAGGTTTCTACTTAGTACTGACATGAAGCGTGCGCCTACCGCAGACCAGCCTGGACATGAATATCTATGGTAAGTATACACGGCACACCTCCTTACATCACCACACGCACACATTCCTGTACTAGCTGATTACCGCGGATGTCAGCAGACTCAAGATCCAATCAGGAGGCTTTGACTGTGCTTTGCTCGACCTAGATTCCATAAGGCTTCCGATCTAAGCCATGGCAGAGGACGTGGTCCACTACCTCGTCCAAATCCAGCCCGACGAACCCCCCACCAATAGCGTCATATACCGGACCTCCGCAATAACCCGCAAGCTATCCTTGACTACGGAAAGAAAATAGGATGGAACACAATAGCTGGCATCAGCGACCTACCCTTCCCTACTCCGGATATCCTCGAGGCCGTACGTTTATACGGCAAAGCCCAAGGAGGATTTGGGTCCTTCCCAGACCAGATCGTCAAGCTCCTCCAAGCCATTGGCATTATATAGATACATGCTGCTCTCATACTATCATCTTACCCATATGGTGACTGGTGTCTCACATCGCTCATGGCAAACGATGCTGGTTCGGGCAAAACGGTCATTGCATATTTGGTAGTCTATGGCTACTACCTGCAAGTGATACAAGAGCTTGACGCTGATCCTTCCAAGAGGATCGAATGTATGCCGGCTGAGTCCTATGAAAAAGTTGAAAACTTTCTGTACCCAGTCAAGGCTCCAATATCAATATTACAGGCTTGTACCCGCCGTCTAACCTGGGAAGCCACCGATTCCATAAAGCGACAGGCCACCGTTCCTGATCGCGAGGAATGAGAAGATACAACAACACCTGCTCAGAGTTGTGGAACAATGAATCCATTTCAGCAACATGGGACAAAGACCAGAGTCACTGCTCATGCCAAGGGCATGAACATCATGAATCCCATGATAGATCCAAAGGGGTCGAAGAAGAGCTTCACCAATATTGCAAAACTCTAGGAATGCCTTTGAGAAAGGAATATCACTCGCCGGCATAGAAAAATGACGGCATGGAAGAACCTCTCACAACAAATCACATATCTTCCGTTGCTTACCTAAAAAAGATCAAGCCAGAATCCGTGGAAGACTTTCCCCATAGACTACACAGAAATCGAAAATGCACTCCTAGACGCGGAGAAATGTCATTTCTACGCCTGGCGTGCCAAAGGGCATCAAGTTAATGCCTGGCGATCGCCAAGGGTAAACTGTGTCATTGACATATTCAACCCGCCCCGAGACGTGGATTCACATGATGCCAATGGCAATGAGGATGCAGGCGTCTACCTTCTGGACATTCTCGATGTCGCCTTGCAGAGCATGACCGATCTAACCACACCATTTCGATACGACGGACGAGTATCGAGAGAGCAATGGAGTCTGGAAGACTCTCATAGAGACCAGGGGTTGAACCTCCAGTTTGCAAACGTTCTGATACAGTGCGGTATCTGGTCGAAGACCTCTTAAAAAGAACAAGTGCATGATTCTATTGTAGACATTGAGCGGGAGACTTTTCGAATGAGCCGCGAGGCAAAAGTTGGACAGACGCCCAAGCATGCTTGACAAGAAGCATTTGCTCTTTAGACCTGTGGACACTGCCGGCAGTCCAATCTGCGGAAACTGCAAGGAAACTCCTCCGGGACTTTGTGTGAAGAGCGCTGCGGCTCTAGCAACGCCGTTAGACGTCATGGTGCAAAGTCCTCCACCGTCGTCCGCATCATCCGCAGCTCTCACGAAACGCGGGGATGACCTGAGTTTTGATCATCCAGCTAAGAAGGTTGGCTTGTGCAACAGCAGAGGTGCCCTCGAGAAGGGCAGTGGACAAAGAGAATCTAGTAGATTATGACAGTCTGGAAGCACGCATGAGTCGTATCAAGTTCAGACTTGGAAGATATATTTTGAGGAGAATCACAAGGATCAACATAATAAACGTTGGATTACCGAAGGAGGGGACGCTGACAAGATTAATGGTGGACTCTTCAGTAGCAAGATCTTTCACACCGGATGTGGAGATAAGCTTCAGGGACAGCAAATTTTGGAGATCTGATTTTGAGTAGGCATACATCGTCTTTCCCGAGACAGCAGATAAGTTACGAAGAAGATTGCCGGCCTTTTTGGCGGTCTGTATTCCTCCTAGCGATATATGCAAGGAGGCAAGCATTATATATTTCAGAAATGAAACTTTTCGTGCCGTGTCAGCATCCCAATCTCAATCTGCCAGTTTTATCCGTTATTGGCCGTATTCAAAGTCCAACGTACAGCGGGTATTCCATTGATTTCTTGATGATGTACATATTTCGTTGAGAATATCGGCATGGCATTTGTTGCCCATCATTGATACCCAAGCCGTCCAGTCTATAAACGCCAATTCCCAATGCTAACCACCATTGATCATTATACAGTGTTGAATGTGCCTAATTTATTCCCCCAATGTCATGATAGAATGTTTGTTTTGACTTAAAGTTGCGGCTCAATGACCACTGTCTCACCCAACTTGCTCTCTGCAGCAGTAGCCACCTTTTCTCCAGCACGCTTCTTGAGAACGTTTTCGATAAACGCCTCACCAGCCTTGTAACTGCTCCGTACCAGAGGTCCACTAGCAACGTAGAGGAAGCCCATGTCGAGGGCGCGCTGGCGCCACATTTCAAATTCGTCTGGCGTCACGTACTTTTCCACCTTGAGGTGGCGCTTTGTGGGTCGCATGTACTGACCAAAGGTGACCACATCGACGCGTGCCTTGCGCAGCTCCCTCAATGCATCCGTAACCTCTTCCTCCTGCTCGCCCAGTCCCAGCATTATACTAGTCTTTGTAATGATGCCCTCGTCGCCTCTCACATCCTTGACGTGGTTGAGGACCTTGAGACTCTGCCTGAAAGTTGCTCGCCGATCACGCACGTAGGGGGTAAGACCCTCGACGGTCTCGACATTGTGTGCATAGACATCCAGGCCACTGTCGGCGACAATCTTGACCATGTCCAGGTCACCTCGGAAATCTCCCGTCAGGGCCTCTACGAGCAGGCCGGGCTTCTTTTGCTTGATCTTGCTAATGGTCTCGGCAAAGTGGCGAGCACCACCGTCGGCCAAATCGTCACGGTCGACGCTCGTGAGCACGACGTATCCCAGTCCCCATCGGGCCAATGCCTCGGCGGTGTGTTCGGGCTCGTGCGGGTCGAGCGGCGCCGGCTTTCGGTTCGTCTTTACACTGCAGAAGCGGCATCCGCGTGTGCACGTGTCGCCCATGAGCATGATGGTGGCCGTGGCCGCATTCTTGTTGTCGCCACCCCAGCAGTCGGAGATGTTGGGACACCGGGCCTCCTCGCAGACGGTGTGCAGGCCGAGTCCACGCAGGTCCGACTTGATCTTCTTGTAGTTCTGGTTGCCAGCGGGAATGGGCGTCTTGAGCCACTCGGGCAGACGTGTAATGGTCCTCCTGTTTGAGGCGGGGCCGACTTCGGCGGTGCGCAGGGTGTAGGCTTCGGTGGCGGGCAGGGCAGAGTCGCGCGAGGCAATAAAGTCGTCGAGCGAAGCCACGGTCGTGTTTTTGAAGTAGGTCGGGCGTCTCGCAGGAGTGGTGGCCGGGTTGGCAGTGGCTGGCGATGGGGTGTCTGGTACGGTGGCGTAGGTCCTCGCCGCAGTAAAAGATGCGCCAGCAGCCCGCTGCAGAGGGGCGCGGATGCGCTGAAGGGTCGGCGCAGACGCCATTTCTGGACTCGATAGACGCCAAAGAAGGAGAAGAAGAAGCGAAGCAGGAACAACCAGAGGACTCGTTGTTGTCGACCGTGTTTCTTCACCCCGTTTGGCGGCAGATTCACAAGTTCAAGGCAAAGGGAAAAGATTAGGTTGAAGCTTGCGGGAGTCCCTGCAAGATTTCGATTACGAGATCAGTGATCGCCATTGGCCCCATTCAAATTTTTGGGGCGACTCGGGTTGGGGCGGAATTTGCCGGGCCTTCACCAGGTGGCCGGACGGGAGCTATTCCGTAGTCTCGGGCCCGGTACGTACCCAGAACAGCAGAATAGTCGGGCGCGTCGTCCGAAACAAGGACAGAAACATGATTCCCTGCTGTTGTTTAAAACCTGTTGATCTTGTGGTGGTTTTTTTGATTCCCACGATACCCCTAAGGCTCAGCCACTGTAGCTATTTTAGTAGTCTCTCAAAGTCACAGACACTGTTCAGAAATGGCACAGAGAAGCAGTGCTTTCGGGGCGGCTGTTTCTAGAGTATGCACATGAACATCTGCAGGCCTTTTCACGTGCTCTTCAAGATCCCCATTGAGAAATGGAATACACGGAACATGCCAACCCTCAGTGGCAGATGGCTTGGTCGACGCTTCCGTTTTCAACAAGGTCGTCCCAAATACGTGACATTTCATATTCCGGACCGTGTTTGTCCACCAATATCGAAATATTTTATTCGACTCTCGAGTGCTTCTAGAAATGACATGACAGTAGCATAGGCTTGAATACTCGACGACGACAAATTCTTTGCCCAGGAGTGAGCATGATTGTCGAATTGTCTCATGCCACCAAGGCACCGTGGAAGGGGCCGTATTGGATTTTTCGCATTGATACAACTCACCAAGAAATAAGAACAAATGCACGACGCTGCATTTACTTGGTAGCCAACAGAACATAGGCCTCGAACCGGATACCACCAAATTGATCGACCTCTTCCTTGACAGATTGGCCGATAGACTCGGCCCACCTGGCTTCCTCATCCTCCGTATACCCCTCCCGCGCCTTGCTCATCATGGGACCAGACATGAGCGCAGTAAGCCCAGCTACATTCTCCCCGTCCGAGACAAGCAGCGCCTTCTCGACGACTGTAATATTGTCCTTGGCGAACCCCCCTTCTTCGACTACCTGTTGCAAGACGCCCTCCTCGAAAAACTCTGGGCCCGGCGTTGGCATGAGCGGCAAGTCGGGGCGAATCTTTTTCTGGGCGGCGTGCACAATAAACATGGGCGCAAAGCGACGCCAGCAAGTAATTACGGCGAGGCCGCCGGGGCGCAGGGTGCGGTAGGTCTCGCGGACAGCATGGGCTGGGCGCGTAAAGGTAAAAATGCTAAAGTTGTTGATGGAGTGCGTAAAGTGGTTATCTGGCACCGACTGAAGCAGCTGGGCGTCGAGCTCCCGGCACTCCACGTGGGGGAGCGCCGAGGCTTGTAGTGACTCCTGCGCCGCTGACACCATCATCGCATTGTTGTCTGAGACCAGCATCTCCCTCGGCAGCTGGTTCCTGGGTAAGCGCGCGACTAGCGCCACAGCGCCGATGCCTGGCCCCGACGCAGTGTCGTGAACCACCGAGTCAGCGCTGATGGGGAGTACAGATGTCTGGACATGTTCGGTGATGACATCAGCAAGAATGTTGAGTGTTGATTGACCCGTCTGTCGAACGTAGATGCCGGCAAACTTTGAGAAATAGTCGGGGAGGGGAAGGTTCGGGTGCTGGTGCGAAGCCATCTTAGATTTCAAGGGCCCGTCGTAAACTGAGCTGCGAGGTTGGCTTAGCAGGGGTCGTCGTTGCAGAGATCGCGCTGAGAGGGCAAATTGAGATGATTTTCTTTTCTTTCTTCAGCTTTCCCTTTTTTCCTTTTTCTTACTCTTTTTCTTTTCCAAGAAACAAAATCTCAACAAATCCAACTTATAAGCAACATTGTTGCGGCGCAGCCAGGCATTAACAGGGCTAGTGACACTTAGGTTGGCCCACCCGATTAGGGCAGTATGTGTTGTCCGAGTACAAACGAATCATGCTGCTGGAACGCGGCGCAGCCAAAGCTTTGTCTATTCGGAGGGGGAATGGGCATCGGTAAAGGTAATCTCAAATGAAAGCCGATTCATCTCAGCTGAAATCTTGTCAAACATTTTTCTCGATGCCTGTAAAGAGGTCAAGACTGAGGATCATGTCACATACGAGGAGCTTGGCCATGGCCAAGGCCAAGTCATATAATGCTATTTAATATATGCCGAGTCGTGAGACGAGTGGGTGGTGAGGATTGCTGCGCCTTGGATTATCAAGCCGTTATGTCGTAGATTCGATCACACGGGATAGGTAAGGACGCCCTCCAAGACCTCTAGTGATCAAAGACCATTCGATGACATCAACGAGTTCGGCATGTACCGAGAAAAAGAAATGAGGATGCTCTGGAGATTGGCCTCTCCCACTCGAAGGAGATAAGAAGCAACATCAACGTGCCAATTCATTCTTGGAAAGCTCAAGAAATTCACGGCAGACGGACCAGACGGCAAGTATCGGGATATACCCATTTGATTTGCATAGCCGATTCCTCGGCTCAGCCGAATCTGCCAGTGCAACAAAGACGGTTACTTTGTCTAGGACTTTTGTATATCTTGTGTCGCGACTCGAAACATGTTATATCAGGTCCAAGTTCAGTAATGTGCAGGTATATCTTGGCGACTCTTGCTTTGCCCGCATGACCGAGGAACCGCTCTGTCCGCAACGCGTCTCTGTGAAACGTTGGCATTAGCGCGGCTCAGTCAAGGTCATCTCGGTATCAGGATATCCTTTATGTGAAGGCTCGTACGACGTCTGCATTGTTAAGAAGAATTAGAATAGACCTCACTTGACCACTTGATGATATGTAAGATTACTGATATTGATCAAACAAGACAGGCCACTAGCGAGCGTTCAAAGTCGGGATGCATGACTCGACTAGACGCTCATGATGGTACTGCGAAACAAGGAAAGATATACTGTCTTGATCCGCAAGAAAACGATTGCATAGTGTGGTGCGATGCCAGATCTGAGACGCCCGATCTCTGTTTCTGTTCAGACGGTAACTTTCACCCTAGTATCCAGGCAGACTTGACCGAATGCAGTTGTGCTGGCTCAGCTTTAGCCAGGCACGTGTGCACAAGACAATCGATCTTCACTCTCGATAGTACCTGTAGCGTCTTGGCAGTCGCAAAAAAGATAAAGATGTACATTGATGGGACAGGTATAGTTGGCTGCATAATAAGTATACCACGCGGAAAGCGTTGCGCCAGCACCAGTCGTAGATGCAGCTTGCTAGCCAAGGTACCTTGGGATTTTTGGATTGCATTACAATAGCTCATGGCTGCAGGTCGACAAGAAGGAAGATTCAATTGTAAAGAGGCCCAGGCAGCCGCGGCATTCTTGGTAGAGATAATGCTCAAAAATGAAACATGGACCTTTCCGCTTCTCCATCGACTTTTCCCACTTTCCCATGGCTTGATCGATCCCATGTTCGATCAGCCTCCGGCAGATGCACGGAAATGCCAAGTGCCAAGACGGGTTGATCCATTCTTAATTCCATAGTAAGCGACGACTTGCCAAGCCCTGTCAACTGAGTCGTCTGAGACATGGAGAAAATTCCGGGCCAGGGATGCTCATTTCGCACAGAATCTGCCTTGACAACCAAGCTATCACAATGCCTTGTGATTTGCAGACGTATTCCTGTCACTTTTTCCCACAAGGGAAGAACTCAGTGTTGGGTTCTACATGAAAAGATCTTTCAAAATGGACACTCAACTCGGACTTGCGATAAGGCTGAATTAAGCATCGAGCATTGCAGCATATCAGCTAAGCATCTCCACAAGGTGGGAAAATTTAAAGTTGGCCGAACTCCGTGTGCCTGAAAGGGCTTTATCTGATGGGCTGTCACAGGGCTGGTGTAGGGCTAAGGTGAACCAAGACATTCAGATGTAAATCACAGCCCTCCCGTGATCCGATCATCTGCATTGTCTTGGCCTGGCTCGGCATCATAGAAATAGTCGTTGTTGCGGATTCATGCGGAGCCACCTCCGTAGGGCAAGAGCATTGGTCTCACATATGACAAGAATATGGTTTCAAGTAAAGAAGTTGAGAATAGTAACAGGCGAATGGATGGCACTTGGAGGCAGGGCGACTACAAGGCTGACTAGAGAATACTCGATATAATAGTCGCTGGGTGACGGTCATTTTTCTGAGAAGGATCCATGGAGCCGGATATCTAGACATTACTCATTACACTCATTCTTATACACTCTTTTTTATTTTGGATGCAACAAAGAACGTCTGGCATCATCAAACATCTTCACCATGTTGTTGCCAAAGGTGCTTCTAGCGCTTGTCGTTGGAGGTTGCCATGGTAGGAAATTCGGGAGGCATGCAAACTTGCATGAAGGCGAATCTATTTGCCGTACCTATGTGAGAACAAGCATGATTATTGCATCTTCCTACCCCTACTATGGGCCTACTAGTACGTCTTTGAGAGAGTCAACCATCACATCTTCAAGAATCATCTCCTCAACAACCACACCGTCAACCATTGAGGGTGTTGTTACAATGACGGATGATTCTACGGTTACAGCTTCGGATACTGTCACATCGGACATTACTGATACAGTAACTGAGGATTTCTCGACCACGAGAGATCTAACCGCAACTACCACTGCTACTGAGGATTTAACGGCCACCACTACGGCGACTAATGATCTCACAGCAACAACTACGGCTACGGATGATTTAACTGCTACTACTACGGCAACTGATGATCTAACTGCTACTACCACGGCAACGAATGATCTCACGGCAACGACCACAGCCACAGACGACTTGACATTCACGGCAACTACAACGGCGGTTTCTAGTACCACGGCAATCTCAATCTCTGATATCACTGATGTTTCAACTGCTACTGAGGATCTGACTGCGACAACCACGGCGATTTCCATCTCTGGTACCACCGACATTGCAACTGTTACTGACGCTACGACCGAGATTGATGTCTCCACAAGTATCCAAATTTCCGTTTCCGTCTCGAACATCATCTCTGATGTGACAATCACCAATATTCTCACCGATGTTTCGAGCACAACGGCCATTCAGACATCCGACATTACTATTGTATCCAGTACTACCGCAATCTCCATCTCGGACGTCACTGCAACTACCACTGCCATAAGCGTGGTACCGACAACGGTTATAGGTAAGAGTTTAAAGTATTATATACATTTCGAAAGTAGACTAACCATGTTCTGCACCAGCCACCCAGGTATCATCAGTACTGCTCTCCATATCCGTCTCGGTCAGTCTTGTTGAGACTATTGGACCTGTTGGACCTGCTCCGACCGCTCCTCCCGTCAAGCGGAGTTTCAAAGAATGGGCAAGGGATCAGTGGAAGCGGCAATCATCCCAGAATGAAACCGACGCGCTCAATGACTTGAGTGGCTTCTTTAGCAACGATACTGTTCAACACCCCGACTCCTGCTCAAGCGCAGTGCTGTTTTACTTGTCCGAGGGGGAGCTGTTGACTGACAACGGCCCGCTCGGAGTCAATCCCGGAGTCGACTACATTAGCTTGGTGGGCTCACGCGGGGGGTCGATCTCTACAACGTTTGACGTTGAGAACAGAATTCTGACTTGGAGGAACGAGTCATTCTTTGACGGACGAGCCGGCTTTTGTCAAACAAGTGATGGTGAGGTGTTTGCCACGTTTGTCGATAATTCTGGTCCGGTCAATTGTACACGCATTGATATCATTGTGTATGAAGCTGGCCAATGTCAAAACGGGACCATTGTCGGGACATCATCCTCGAGCTCCCCGGTACCCTTTGCGACGAGCTTGACGACTGGCCCAATCGCCGGCTTTTCTACCACTGGACGTACTATTATCGAGACTATTGTGCCAATCACCGTTTTCGGTAACACTCCTGGCACGAGTACAATTCCCGGTAGTGGCACAATCCTCCCGTCGGTTGTAGTCACCATTCCCTTCCCTACAATCACTCAGTTTGTTACTGGCCCGGTTCTTGGCACTTCTATCATCCCTGGATCTGGAACATCACCTGCGGTAGAAATAATAACCACGACACCGGGTGCAACGATTACATCCACCGTATATGGAGTGAGTACCAAGCAGCATTCAACTATTCCCATATCCTCCATGTGTATAGAAAAGGACGAAAGAAGCTGACATGTTTGAATCACATTAGCCCGTTCCTGGAACTTCTATTCGACCTGCCAGCGGCACCTTTTTGGCAGAAGCTATTGTGACCATTGCACCAAACCCATTCACCATAACTACCACGGGACCAATTGCAGGGACATGTAAGTGGACCTTTTCCTTGATCTATTTTATCGAAAATTGTTCCACGTCTTTATTTCCCACACCAAAGAAAATTTGGTCACAACGTCTTGTTGTTCCTTTGGAAAAACAAGCTCCATATATATACGAGATTTAAGGATCACGAGCTAACATGTCGTAATAGCAACCATTGCCGCCAGCGGCACATTCCAAGGTGAAGTAATCGTCACAATAGCTGGCTCTACGGCCACTTCCATCACTACAGGTCCTGTACAAGGATTTTCGACTCTCCCGGCCAGCGGTACCAATGGTCCTGTTGTTATTGAGACTATCGTTCCAATTACTCGTACCGGGCCAACTCCTGGAACAACAACGGTTCTCGGCAGCGGTACCAACTTGCCGTCCGTGTTTGTA